TTAAAAATGTATCATGAATATGTAAATTTGTAAAAAATTGTTATAAATTTTGCTAAATACTATTTATTCAATATCTTGAAGAAGAGATTCTATATCAAAATTTTTATTTTCATGCTCAATTTGTTCAATCTTTTCAGTATTCTTTAAAAATTCTTCTTGATTGAAATCTTTATTAAAATCAAAATATTCTTCAAGATGCAAATTTATTTCACTAAAAGATAAATCTAATATTAGTTTTGTATATGATTGAATAAAATCTGATTCATTTTGAAAATATTCATTATCAAACATATATGTTTCTGTAAATATGTAATATGTAGCTTGAGATATAATATCTTCAATTTTCTTATCTGTAGTGGGATATCACATGTAATATAATTTATATTACATGTGATATCCCACTTAGCCTAGATTATAGTATCACATATAATCTAAATATCATATATGATCTAAATATCTCATATAATCTAAATATCACATATAATCTAAATAATATATAGAATCTGAATACCACATATGATCTAAATGATGTGATCTAATTACTATATCTAATCTAAATAATATAGTCTGAATACCATATATAATCTAATATTTTATTATTTTTTATATCACTTTTACATTCTAATTATATTTTTAAGTCTTCTTGATATTCATATTTTTATACTAATATACTTTATTATCATAATATAATCTAATTATCACATACATATAATTTAAATATTACGCTTTTCTTCTTATTTTTGAGTCGTTTACATACTAAATTCTATAATGGAGTTGTTAGTCCTCTGTAACTGTTTGGATATCTGGTTTTATGTTGAGGATGCTAACCTCTTGCATCTGGTTGGATGCTAGATTCTATATTGGAGTGCTTACTCTTTGTGCCTATTTAGTTGCCTTTCTAGATACCAAAATATGGTAAAAAATATGGTGTTAGATAGCGCAGTAAATTCATGGTTAATTTCAGTCAGCATTATAGTATAATTCAGGCTGATTTTTAGGACATATAATTTGAAGGATCCAAGCTGACACTATGGTAGTGACTTAGTAGTATCCTAGAACTGTTATAGAACTAGTAGAGAACATGAGTGTTTCTATTAATTTGCCAGTTTCAGGTCAACTTGGATGCTAAGTTATTATGTTCAAGGATCTGATTGAATTTATGTGCTGGCCAATTTTATACTGCGTCTTATTGCACTAATCACGTGATTCTGTTACAGTATCAAATATCCTTTTATAATTATAGGTTAGTAATGAGAACTTTTCTAGAATATTTCTAGAACCTGCAAAAAAAATTAATGGTTGTGCTTTTCTCAAAACTAGTAAAAAAGATTTTGAATAATATAGTCCAGTCAGGGGATATACCAAAAAAGAAAACAGGTTCTAAAATATTCTATTGCAGATTCTTAAAATTTGATTGGCTCATTTATTCATTTTATACTTGTATTTTGAAAAAATTTTTTACAATATTTGTTTGATATAAAAACTTTTAAAACAGATAGAACAAGACATTTAGTTTTCATAATTACAAATAATCTCACATAATTAAGTCTATTCTGTTAAAGTAAATGAGAGCTTAAACTGAGTATTTGCTTTATATATTATTAAATAACATAAATGAAAGAACAAAATTTTATTCAACTAATTTAAATAATTTTTTTTGTAGTGTTTACTTATCTAAAACCCAAAGCAAGAAATCTTCAATGCATTTTTACGAATCTAGCTGAAAAATATGAAATTGGATTAAAACCTTGTGAAACTAAAGAATCACAAAAATGAAGATATGCTGATAATGAAAATATAACTAAGAAACTTTTACAATATCATACTTACCTTCCTAAACTTGCTAACCATTATTTTTCTTTGAATGACTATTTAATTTGTGAAAGGTACTATAATCAAACCATTGTTACTAATCAGTATTATCAGCATCTTGTAGGTTCTGTTCAAGAGAATAAAAGGCTCTAGCTTGAGGATAATGATATTGATTCAATTGCTAATTTTGATGAAGCCAAAAGACTCTTAAAATCTATGCAAATAGAAAGTCAGCAGAAATCACAGTCAATAGCGAACCTTAATAATCAAGTTATACAAATGCAAAATTATATAAAAGACCAAAAAAATGAAATAGTGGAGTTGAAGAAACAATTACAGCAGGCCTATGATAATATGAGTAAAATGCAAAACTTATATGATGAACAATGTAAAAATAATGAAGTTCTTATTAGACAATGGAATTTAAAATTTGCTGACCAGCAAAAATGTGTTGACGCAATTATTGAGATAGCAAATACAGAATGCATATCATTATTTAATGATTTAGAATCACTAATTCAAGATAGCAATAGATTTTCTATGGAGAATCTTGTGATATATAGTTCTCGTGAATGGCTCAATAGGCATAATAAAGTTGTTGTAGCATTTATTGAAACTTTGGTTCAAAATGTTCAAAGTACTGATACTTTAAATCAAGAAAAACTTTTTAAAACTGCTGTTATAGTTGATTCAATATATGGTGCACGACATGGAAAGTATGATTCAGAAATCCAACTTGCCCTTTTAGTTATTAAGTATTCAATCACACAATTAAAGATGGTTATCAATATTAACAATCATATTACAAGCTCAGGAAGTTACTTTCGATTTCAAAAATGGCTGGAAGAATTATCAAAACAAGAAGAACTATTACCTGAAGGACTTTTATTCTTTGCATTTGATAATGAACAAAGAGGCAAAAAAATTATCTTGACCAAGGCTATAATATAGTAATTTATTATATCGTTATTAGCTTCATCACTTTTAATATGTCATCACAAAATAAAATTCAACATACTGATTCACCTTAGGCATATCACTCCCTTGATAAGTTATAGTTTGAAGAACTTTTTGATGTTAACTCTCAAATGCAAGAAGCTATTGATAAAGAATTATATAATTATTTTGCCAATATTCTTAATTTATTATCCGAAGAAAAATTATCCTCTACTAATACAATTGATTCTCTTATAACATCTATAGGAACTAATATCACCAATATGAAGGAATATCCTAATTATCATCAACAAAATATTGAGAATCGAAAGAAAAAATGCCTAATATACAAGACACAATTGCCAACATTGACTGACATACAAAAAGAGAAAGTGGCTGAAATAATAATTAACAAAACTAACGATACCCTTGTTTTTAAACCATATAGTTTTACACATATCCCTAGGATTAGTATTACTCAATAACGAACTACTGATCAAAGAGTTAACACTCCTGATATTTATATTCCTGATCCGATTGATATTAACCCTAACTCTATTTCAAATATTGAAAAAGTTCTTTTGCACATAGAAAAATTAACAGGTATTAGAGATGGAATTCGTAAGTGAATAGCGGTGGTCTGTGATGGTATCCTATACCATCATATTACAAAATTGAAAGATAAGTTTCCTTGGCTAGTACTTATACTGGGACCACTGCATGAAGAAATGAATATGCTTCGATTATTTGTGAAATTAAACTGATAAGTATTAATTGAAATTTTATTCGTTTTTCTGATTTTCAGATTTTTACTTACTTGATAACTTAAATTTTATATTAGGAAAATTGATATAAAACGATTTGCTATATGCCAAGGTTATCGAACAGACAATCAGCTTTCCTATTTCAAAAAATGTGTAGACCATCATAAGTTTTGAGATACCATCTGTAATATATACCATCAGGCAATTTCTATGGAACTTATATAGTTATATGTAAAAAGCAATTCTAAAATATCGGTCGAAGGATATCTTGCATAGGCCAAAAACTAACAAGATTCGCTTTATCAGATAAAATATGAACAGGTAGGTCACTATTAAACTTTGTACTTTTATAAATACTAACGTTAATTTTGTAATAATCAATTATCAGAAAGCTATACGAATCAGCAACCCTTTATTAAAGAGAGCTGCTAAAAGAATATATTCCCCTATTTTGCCCGCAAGACGTCATTCTATTTATCGCTTAATAGAAGTTTTTGATGAAATTCAATTAATGCAACTCTGTCCAGAAGTACAGAACATTATAGAAAAAAATTGCGTCGTATTTAGGTCAGACATTTACAAACAACATCAAGGGTTAGATGCGATATTAGAGGAGGTAAACAAGACTCTAAAAACTTTAATACCTTCTGTCCACAATATCATCATTGGAAAATTGTCGCACGTAATTGTAAAAAGTTTCTTGAAATAATTTTTTAATTTAATTAATTTAATTAGTAAAATACTAATAAACTTTACTTTATAATAAAATTTAGCTTAGAAATAACTTACTCGAAATAATTGGAGATAACGATTATTAAACCGTTAAACCAAGAACTCAACCAGAATCGTCTGTGGAATGCCAAAGATTTTGGGCTTATCTACGAAGTCTTGAATTTGTGGATCGGAGTTTAGAAGAATATGGATTAAATGAAAATTTAAAAAATTTCACATTTTTGGCAAGGCAAGCTCAGAAAAATTATATTACCGAAATATTTATTAATAAAATAATTCTTTTTTATTTAGGCTGATACCAATTTCGAAACAAGAAGCGAAGGCTCAAGAAAGTGAAGAAAATATGACCAAGTCTGAAATATTATCAAAGGTAGAAACCCTTCTTGAACAACTTGATGAAAATGTTCAGAAAAAATATTTTAGGTTAAATTCAAAAAAGCAAAGTGAATTATTATGCATATTACAAGAGATAAAACATGAATTTAATAATAATGAGGCATTGTAAATAAGTTTGAAATTTTTTTTTTTTTTTTTTAAAAAAGGTAAATGAAATAAAATTCTTTTCTAAAACACTGTTTTAAAATAAAATTCTATTCTAAATAAAAATACTGTTCTAAAATAAAATACTGTTCTAAATTTTATTCCTATTTCTGATTTTTAAATTTAGAGTAAACCTAGAAAATTCTGATCAGCAGAATTATTACTATATTAAGAAATAATTGACATTACATATTTGGTATATTTTCTGACTGTAGTCTAGAAGCTGGTCCTGCTATAGTGTGTTTCATAAAAAGCCATCAAGTTATTTATTATATATTTCAAATTTCAAAAATTTGTATAGTCACGTGATAAATATAATACTGGTTTATGATTAGCTAAAATTTTAATCACGTAATAATATAATTAATAAAGTTTAAAATCTGATAAAAACTTTATTTTTTAATTCATCAATATTTTCAAAAGTAAGTCTAGAACAGTTCTATGTGATTTATATTTTTTTAAAACATATACAGCTTGTAAACCTGTTAATTCTTTTCGATAACATTTCATAAATTTTGCTGATTTTTGAGTATATTTACGTATATGATTTAAAGAAACTGAATCTAATGCTTTTAAAACAGTTTCTTGTAATCCTTTCTATGTATAATTACAATGTTGTTGAGTATATCATTTTGCAACTTTCCAATACATTTTGATATAATTAAATTCACAATGAAATTTTGGATAAAAAATTACTTTATGTCCTAATTCTTCAATAATTTCTTGTAATAATAGTTTTTGATTACAAAAATCCTCTTAAGTAGCTAAAATATGATATGCATAACATTTTGAATTTTCTAATGATATATTATTTTTACCACAAAAAGCTTTTAATCCAGAACCCCATAAATTATGTTCCTGTAAAACTACTTTCATTCCTTTAAGTTTTTCACAAAGTGTTTTATCAGAATAATTAGAAGGAAACACCATAGATTGAACTTAACCATTAAATATTGTATTACGTATAATTGGTTGCTTACCACCAGGATTAAGATTCATATTTACTGTATTAAGAGTATCATCAGCCAGTTTTGCATGACTAGAAGAATTAACAAAAGTAAATACAGCAATCATGTCTGGATGTGTTTTTTTCAAAAATTGGTATAGCTTGAGTTTTAATCTAATAGTTTGAATTTAAATTATATTAGTTTTTTATTTAATTTAATAATTTAACTTATATTAATTTATTTTAATAAAAAAAAATACCTGATCAATTAATTGATCAATATTCCACCATCCATCAAAATTTTTCTCAGGATTAATTATAACACAAGCTTCATTTGAAATTGTGCTATCAATCTCTTCTTCATTTAATTTTAATCTTCCAATTGTATCAGTTAAAAAATCACTAACATGAATGGTTCTTTCTTGACCTTTTTTTCGTAAAGGTTGCTCATTTTTAGATCTCCAACCTGATTTTTGTCTATTATTTGATTGAAAAGTTATTTCATCATGGATAACAAGAATATGTATTTGTTATTCACTTTCTAATTCTGGATCAATTCTAATTTCAAGTTCATTACCAGTAAATTTTAGCATTAATTTTTGATAACTATAAAATTATATACATAAAATATAAATATAAATATATAATATAATATAAATTAATTAAATAAAAATAAACTTATTACCAGGACATGACTTCAAGAAATTCTTTTTGATAGACAACGACATCATCTCTTTTATAACCATCAATATACATTTCTTTTATATATTAACTAAAAATAAATCCCATTTTTTTTAACCACTGAATTGCTGTAGATTTACTATAAAATGTAAAAATCATTAGTAATATATTTATAAAATAAAGTAATTTATAAAATACAAATATAATAAAATAAATACCTGATTTTAGTTTTTTTTCTATACTAACAGAAGGTAAAATTTCATTAGAAATATAATTGCAAAAGTCATAAACAGTTATATCAAATTTGTGTTATTGTAAATATAATGTAACTTTTATTTGAATATCCTCATCATTAAGAATACTAGTTTCTCTAAGATGTTTTTCACGATTACTATCAAAAATATCATTATATTCAATAAATGCTTTAGTCTAACTTCTAACACAATGAGTAAACTATATTCCTTGATTTAAAAGATCTGCAACAGTCTGACTTACTTCTAATTTTGTATGTCCTTTGTTGAGAAGTTGTAAATAATATTGAACAGCTTTAAATCACAGCTTATATCCTAGAATTAAATGTTTATCCTTAAATTTTAGTTTATCTTCAATTATATTAACTAATGCATTCAATTATGCATTTTTAGTATCATCAGAATCAACATTAAAATCATCAACATCAGAACTATTTTCATCAGAAGAACTATCACCAAAATTATCAGCACTAGAACCATTTCCACCACCAGAAGAATCACCACTAAAATTATTAGCACTGAAACCATTTTCACTACCAAAAGAATCACCACCAAAATTATTAGTATCAGAATCATTTCCACTACCAGAAGAACCACCACCAAAATTATTGACATCAGAACCATTTTCACTACCAGAAGAACCACCATTTAAAATTACTATTAAAATATCTAAATTTATTTTAGTTAATAAAGAGTTTGCTCATTTTTTTTTTGATTTTCTGATACTTTGATTTTTTTTGATATTTTGTTATTCATGAGTTTTTTATATTTACTAACGGACATTTGGAAAATTTTAATTCTTTCATATTTTTAGTTAAAACTAAAAAAAGCTGCTCTGCCTCATCCTCATTAACCCATTCAACTTCTTCATTCTCTGCCTCATCTTTATTATCCCATCCAACTTCTTCATTCATATTACATTCAGTTTCCGCAATTTGAAGTTTTCTTTTTTTTGTTATCTCTTAGCAATATTGAATTTGTCGTTTGGGACATCTCATAGTAAAAAAAATTGATCAGTTGATCAACATATGCATACAGTCTAAACTATTTATATGTAACTTACATTATAAAATTTAGATATAATTCTGGTCAGAGTTATAAATTTGTTTTTATTTAAGAAAATACCTGAACTTTACCAGTTAATAACTTTTAATCTTTATTTTTAATCAGAGTAATTCTAACATTAATTTGTAGTAATAATCAATGTCTATCAAACTATGTTAAAATATTTTAAATATATGTACTAGAAAATTTTTATTTCATTTTTAAGTTTGATTAATTTATTGGATGGCTTTTGTAATACAAACTGTACAACAGGACGACAAATCACATTAGATGGCTTACACAATATCACTGGCTAAATTTAATTTTACTTTTTGACTACTTATTTGTCATCAGGAGTGGAGGCTAAGGTATTATATTTCTTGAAGGTATGATAGGCATTATTATAGTCAGTCTATTTGTTTGCTGAAAATACGTACCTTACAATTAAAGCAACTATTGCCTATTTGTTGCCAGTACATGTATGCCAATTTTATGTCTAAAGTTAGAAATGTAATATATATTATTATAGCCAGCCTATTTATACCATATCTGAATACTGTTAACGTGTAATTCTTGCGAACTACAACTGTTAAATGGGGTGTTTGAGTGATTTATTCTTTTTAATTGCACAGTAATCTTTCAATGGTTTGCAAGTTTTAATTCAGATGGTTTACCAAAAGTGTTTAGACTATTACAACAAATAGTGGTTCAACAGATTGCCAGTAGTTATATCTGTAAAATAATGTGTTTATTCATGAGTAAAATAATAAAATAAAAGAAAAGAAAAGAAACGAAATACTAAACTAAAATGTAACGTGATAGGTCAGTTGCCTCTAATCTGTAATATAATATGATAGGCCTGGTTGCCTCTAAACTGTAACATGATATGATAGGCCTGGTTGCCTCTAAACTGTAACGTGATAGGTCTGATTGTCTCTATTATACTATCTTCTGGATTGGTTACCGACGTCAGCTAACAATACCTCACTCACTGCTAAAACTACTCAAGCTATCTTCTCCTTCCCTTTTACATAAACTAACAAGTTACCTATTTATATAAAATATATTACATAGAAAGATATAACTAATATATCTAATATGTCAGCTATGTCTAATATGTCAATTATATCATATATGTCTGACATGTCTAATATGTCAGTTATGTTACATATGTCAAATATATCATCTATATAAATTGATCATTCTTTTGCATCACATAAGCTGCATTACATTTATCCATTTACAATACATATTTAGAAAAGTATAAATCTTCTTCCATTATTTTCTATAATATTTCTAAAGAAGACTTATTCTCTGAATACATATATACCACATATGTCTGAATACATATTATCAAGATATAGCCGTTATACCACACCTGAATACATACTAGTGATAGAGTAGGTAAGTGTTAATATTTATATAATAGATTACGTATTTACTTATCCTAGATGATATACCTAAGTATATGTCTAGAAAGATGAAGGCTTCTCCCAATATTTTATATAATAATTACAGAGAAGCCTTCACTTTCATTTGCATATTTAGTTGCCTTTCTTTTATGATTTGCTAACTAAGTTCAATATCGCTTCTTTTTTGCATTTATCAAAAAAAATAATTAAATATTTTCAAATTTTATAAAGTAATATAAACTTTTTCAAACTAATAACATGCATATCTCAACTATTTCTGATCAAACTAATCACAAAACTCTCATACACTACGATGATACTAGCTCTGATAAATATTTAAGTGACTCAAGCAGTTGTACTGATAATAGATCTGACTTAGGATCAGATGATTATAATGACTATGAGTTTAATTATGAGTCAGATAATGAAGAAGCTTCCTGCGTTTCAACCAGCACTATCAAGACTCTATTTATTCAATCATCAAATATAAAAAAGTGAAAGATTAATATGACATATACTTTAAGGTAGGAAAAGTTTAATGATAATTTTTCTTTCAAGAACTTGCTAAATACTATTTGAGAAATTTTCCTATCATCATCTAGAGATATATCAGATAAAAAGAGGTCATTGAAATGTTTTCCAATCTATTCATTTCTCTTTTCAAATGAAAAAAAGATCTAGTTTATATAATATTTATGACTAGAATAAAGTAGAAAATAAATTAGTTATCAAAATCGACTAAGACAGTGATTGTGTCTTGAAGTTTTCTCTTGCAGATGACATTTTAGAAGTATATGATTTACTAGGAATTCATGAATACATTAATGGTCAAAAATCTTTAAGAGCTGTAATTAATATAGATGTTTCACAAGAAAATATGAAAATAACTGATGTTAAAACACAAGAAGTATTCATTTGAATCTGCTTATCTTTTATAAGAGCCTTGTATCAAATTCTTGACTGTAGTTAGGAAAATATTCTTAATGGGTTAGTAATTGCTACATCTTCAAATTCTAGCAAGTATAGCTATCATATTTTATATGCACTGGCTTTTCTTATTGATTATCATAAACTCAAAGCATTCACAGAATTAATATATATCTTAACTAGGGAGAAATTTGATAAATATATTGATTGAGAATTATCTGATCAGAATTTTAAACTTCGCCTTATCAGTTCAGCAAAAAAGTTTGTGTAAAACGCATTCTTCAATTCTCACTAGATAATGGGTAGAATGATTTCAATCATACTAGAGTTTAGCCACATACTAGCTTAAGGGTTGAAGTAAGACCCTGATTACTTAGTATAGAAAAAAATAACAATTCACTAAGAATAATTGTAGATCATGATATATTACAAAAATGCGTAAATCTTATTTTGCAGAGGCATTCTAACTATCTTAGAGATTGGACTATCAAAGAAAAGACTCAGAAAACTTCGTATATTTTAACTGAAAAGCTCCATTAGAATGTTCACAATGTAAATGCATATATGACAAAGATTAGCGATGATTCAGTTGTGTATATGCTAACAGTGAGATATTCATCGTAAAATGCTTTTAGTAAAATAGTGATAAACCTGAAGAAATTTTTAAATGCAACCCATCTATTACAAAAAAAATTCAGCGAGAAAATAAAATTTTTTTGCAATTATTTCATAAGGTATAAACCCTCAATTTTCCTAAAGCCTTTATAAAATTTTCATCTTGGATCAAGTATAATAACTCCCTTATAGCGATAGAAACATATAAAGAGAGATATGTAAGATAATTACTCAATAAAGGTGATTATTATATGGGGTCACCTTGGGAAATGGGAAAAACCTATATTCTTGAAAATTTAGCTATTCTAATGATGTAAATTTGCTAGTATTATTCACATGCCATTCTTATTCAAATGCTACTATTACAAGACTTAACTTTAAGTTATATTGTGATATTGATGGTAATATAAATCTACCTGATCATAAAAGAGTAGTATGCCAGATAGAAAGCTTACATAATATTATCAATAATTGTAAATGTAATAAAAAATAAAAAATGCAAATGCCTTCTAATCTAATATGATTTGTGACTTGATGAAATAGTATCTATAATTGCTCAAGCACAAAGTCATTTAGCGGGGGTAGTTGATAGAGAAATTATATAATTTAATCTAAAAGACTAGACGCATTATTGTTATAGATAATAATCTTACTGATCTTAATATCAAATGGATTAAGCCTCTTTGTAAGGAAAGGCCATTCACTATTATTCATAATACTTACTAGCCTCAGAATGGTAAAACATTCTGCTTGACTTCTAATAAAGAAACTGTGTTAGTCAAACTTTGGAATTGGGCTAGACAAATATCTTCACTACTTTCTGAGAAATGAACAAGTGTATTACTTATCTGTCATCTTAGAAAAGATATGCAAGGGATTGTTCATGCTCTTAAGACTGATTTTCCAGAACTACAGATTAAGGAATATCATGGTAAATCTGATCCATTAAAAAAGGCTTATGACTTCAGCAATGTAAAAGAATCATAGAAAGACGTAGACCTAGTTGCTTATATAAGCACTTTAAAAATAGGAGTAACCTACACTAATCCTAAGTTTGAGCAAGTATTCTGTCTTTTTAATAGCTACATAGAAACAAATGCCAGAATGAATCAGATGTTATTTCGCATGCAATGTATTAAAAATTATATATGCCATATTAAGCAAAGATCTTTTAACATTCTAATTACAGAGAAAGGATTATTTCAATAGTTGTTGAATGCTAAACGCGAATGTTTCCCCTAGAAACTTCAGAATAAAGAAATATTTTCAGATATAGATTCTATCATCTGAAATAAAGACATACCAACTGTTCATTTATAAGTGACCTATATGTTAGAAAAAATTCTATTTCTAGCGCTTATTTAGTTAGAAGATGATTGATTTTCTCTAAAAAGCTGGTATGAAAGTTTCAATCAAAGAATCTGGTCCTAAATCTAAAGAAAATACATTATTATAAGTAGTAAAAGTAAAGTATTTTATCGTTAAAGTAGAGAAAATATCAGATATATCTAACACTACTATTATCAATCATAAGACTGCTGAGTTTTTGGAAAATAAGCTGAAGAAGACCTTAAAAGAAATGCGATCTCTAAACTGACATCATATTGTGAAATATTATGAGATTTCTCCAGAATCATTAACTGAAGATTTTATTTCAAAGTATGGGAATTATAATCATATGAGATAGTTCAGAGCTTATAGATAATTACGAGATGCTAGTACTGATAATGAAACAGCTATTAAGGCTATTTTCTATAAAGATTATAGAAAAGATAAGCTCACATTATAACTTAAGCTGAGAAGCATCAAATCTGCCTAGAATTACTAAAAATTTGTACATCTGCTAAAGATATTGATGATAGGGTGAGATGATGTTAAAAGGTACTTGAATACTTCTGAATTGATTTCTTATCTTC